TCCCTTAAAGACTGCCCTCTCCCCAAATATCCCCCCCCTCAAATACATTTACTACGCCCCCCTCAAATACAACCCTCTCAACAACTGCACTCCCCTAAATACCACGCCCCCCTTCCAAAATGCTATGCCCCTCTCCCCTAAAGATGATGTCCCCCTCCCTTAAATATGATGCCCCCCACCCCGAATACACACAGCCCCTCCCAAATTTCACCCTCCCCCTCAGATACACACAACTCCCTTACCCCATCCCCATCATCTCCGTCTCTTCCTTGTGGTGGGATTCGCCCCCGGCCCCCCTGCCAGAGCCCTGCGCTTGCTGGGTGGTGGGGATGGGGGGCTGCTCCCCCGCTTTGTCCCACGCCTCTCCCCCAGGGCAGGCTGGGTCGCTGGCAGCTCCGTCCCCACATCCCCCCAGGGCTCCGGGGACTGTGCTGATGGCTCCATGACCACATCCCCCCAGGGCCCTGGGGACTGTGGCCATGGCTCCATCCCCACATCCCCCCAGGGCTCCGGGGACTGTGCTGATGGCTCCGTCCCCATGTTGCCCTGGGGCTCTGGGGTCACTGGCCATGGCTCTGTCCCCACGTCCCCCAAGGGCTCCTTGGACTTTGATGACACTTCCGTCCCCACGTCCCCCAAGGGCTCCTTGGACTCTGGTGACGGCTGCATCCCCACATCCTCCCAGAGCTCCTGGGACTCCGGCCCATTGAGGAGTTTCTCCAGGAAGCGCACAGCCTCCATGGTCTCCTCCAGAGTGTAGTTGTGACTCAAAAGCTCCTCAGGCAGCTCGACAGCATCAAAGTCGCTGGGGGAAATGGCTGTGCAGGTGTCCCCAGGCTCCGTGGGCCTGGGGCTGCTGCCAGGACTGTCCTGGCTGACACCTCCCACCTCCCCGGAGCAGTCGAAGAGCCTCAGGGCCTCCTCCAGAGGGAACTCTTGAGGCCCTTTGAGATCCCCGAGGGCTTGGCATTGGTGGACAGCAGAGGGGCTGGTGGGGACACTGGTATCCAGGGAGATGATGCTGTCCAAGGAGAGGTCAGTGTCTGAGGAGAGGTCACTGGAGGCAGGGATGTTGCTGTCTGGGCTTCTCTCCTCAGGGGTGGCCGTGCTGGAGCTCTTGGTCTCTGAAGACCATTCAAGGCTGTTCTTGTGGCCGGGGATGGAGTTTGGCAGCGTGGTGTGTGCTGGGGCCACCGCTCTGCCCTCTCCCCTGGTGGCACCAGGGTCCCCAGGCCTGGAGATGGTGGTGGCGCTGTCCTGGCTGGACCCCACTGTGTCCGTGGAGGATGCAAAGAGCCTAAAAGCCTCTTGGAGGAGCATCTCCTCAGTCACATCCACTGTGCCTGCCGGGTCCCCAGGAGCTGGTTTCTGGGGGGCAGCCAAGGGTCTGGGGGGCACGTGGCTTTGTCGGGTGCCATGGCTGCCCAGGGGTGCCCCTGTGGGGGTGGCCGTGCTGGAGATTTGGCTCCATCCAGAAGGTCCCCGGATGTGCTGGAGGCCAGGGATGGAGGTCAGCAGCAGCGCCGGGGGCGCTGCGGCCACCGCTCTGCCTTGGTAGCTGAAGGATGGGAGCTGCGTCAGCGGGGGCTGTGTGGGTGGTCCCTGGAGGATGCCGGGGGCTGCCCAGGCTGGGAGGGTCTCACAGCCCCCGAGGCCCCACAGGGCAGGGCCCGGGGGAGCAGCGGGGCCGTGGGCGAGCGTGGGGGTGGCTGGTGGAGGCTGCTTGGCGATGGTCCGCTTGACGTGGAAGAACCGGGGATCAAAGCAGGAGCCGCAGGGGGCCATCTGCAGCCCTGTGGGGGGAAAGGGAGTCGTGCTGGGCTGGGGGCAGCCTCCAGGGCACCCGCCGAGCCCAGGACACCCCTGTGGTCCCCTGTCCCTGCTCTGGGCCAGGCTCCTGGGGAGTTGGTGGCCGGGCACTCCCCGGGGTGAGCTGCTGTGCCGGGGGGGGGACAGGGCTGGAAACCAGGGAGGGGACACGCTTGTCGGGGGGAAATGGGAGAGATGGCCCCAAGGGGTGTGGAAAGTCTCTGGAAATGGGCTTTAGTGGTCAGACAAGGGTAGGGACCCTCACCTGGGCTTGCTGAACACTCCCCCCCGGTGCCAAAATTGCTGTGAGGGAAGAGGGGAGGTGGGATGGTGACGGTGAGAAGGGAGAGGGGAGGTGGGATGGTGATGGTGAGCAGGGAGAGGGGAGGTGGGATGGTGAAGGTGAGAAGGGAGAGGGGAGGTGGGATGGTGACGGTGAGCAGGGTCCTCAGGGGCTGAAGGTGGCAGAGGAGACAGGGGGTTCATACCTGGTGGTGGGGCCTGGGGGGGCCATGGGGCTGCCCCCACGGGGGGTGCCCAGGCTGCGGGGAAGGACTGCTCCTGCCCAGACACTGGAAGCAGGATGGCTGAGCCTGGAAGAGAGACAGGAGCCATGGCTGCGGTCACCTCCTGCGCTCTTGGCCCCGAGAGCGTCCCCGGGCTGTGGGTCGGGATCGGTCCCTACCTTGGGGGTAGAAGGTTTGCGGGAGCACAAAGGTGTGAAACATCTGTGGTGCTGGGGGAGTCCAGGAGCCGGTTGGTGGGAGCCAGAGTGGTGGCAGCGCCATGGTGGGTCCTCTCGCTCTCTCTGCTGCTAAGGACTCTTTGGTCGCCTGGGATGGAATGTTGGGGCTCCCTCTGGCACCCCCCCCCCACTCCCTCAGCAGCCTCCCCATCTCCTGCTGGAGGACTGGTGGGAGATAGGATGGTCTTGGCCACAGTCCTCATGAAATGGTTGAGTTTAAAATTGTCAGTGGAATGAGAAAAACATTGGGAAGAGTTGCTCCCCTGGATTTTGTAGGTGAATGCTCTATGAATGAGCTGAAGATGCCCAACCGTGAGGTGCTATTGAGCCTCCTGAGGGACCAGAGGTCTTGCAGAAGGCTCTCGAGAGGTTGGAGCAGTAAGCAATCCCCAGTGGTGTGAAGTTGAAGCAGTAACAGTGTGGGATTCCCTGGAATACCCTGTTGGTCAGTTTTGGGTCACCTGTCCTGTCCGCCTCTTCCCTACAGGTGGGACCCCTCTACGCTTCTCTGCTTCCGACCCTCCAACGGGGCAAATAACAAATTTGCCTGACCTTGGTTGTTTTAGCAATAAGTATAAGCAAGGGCCTCTCTGCATACTATTCCTTGGTATAATCAGGTCTTATCACTGTGAGAGTGAACAGTTTCTGAACAATATGCTGTTAATTTCAGAGTTTAGTGCCTTAGAAGAGGCCCAGCTGAAAAAGTAAAATTACTGAACAGAAAATTAGATATGTTTTACCTCAAACCAGGACATTCCGCCCCTTATTCCATACCATTTGCATCGTGCTCTAATTATTATCACTTCTTATCTATCAAATACATACAAATATATATATAAATAAGTCCCTTATTTATGACTTATTTGATAGGCAAAAGTTCATTGAGTTCATATAGTCCATCATTGCAGGTTTCCATCATAGTAGACTCTCAGGGTAGAAAAGACTATATGAAATTTACTGTGGTCCATATCCACAGGTAGCATGTCCATCTTGAAGAGTTTGCTGGACATCACTTGATGAAGCTAGCTCAGGTTTCATCACCACTTTTATCCTCAAAAACCACTTATTGGATAATGTTAGTATTATATAATAATTAACATCACACAGCTCAGAACTGAGTATTTCACCTGAGGTTAAATTTCCTTGAGGTACACATTGAATTTCTCCATTCTCCAGCATGACCCACCAAGTACATCCAGGTTCTTGGGCAAAAACAGTCCCACAAATGGGTTTGCCTTTGCCTGAAGTAGGAAAAACCCAAACAGTTTTCCCCAACATATTCCTTTCAGGCACCACAGGGACTTTATCCCCTTCTACATTACGTAAAAGATCTGATTGAGCAGGACCAGCTTGATTGATGGATCCCCTGGTGTTAACTAACCAGGTAGCTTGTGCTAAATGCTTGTCCCAATTTTTAAAGGTTCCACTCCCCATTGCTTTCAGGGCGGTTTTCAATAATCCATTGTATTGCTCAATTTTGCCAGAAGCTGGTGCATGATAGGGAATATGATATACCCACTCAATGCCATGTTCTTTTGCCCGAGTACTTATAAGGTTGTTTTTCAAATGAGTCCCATTGTCCAACTCAATGCTTTCTGGAGTACCATGTCGCCACAAAACCTGACTGCTATTGGTTGTACTATAGTAGGAATCACCCAACTAATGACTGATGGACTCTGATGAAAAATCAGGTACAGTGCAGCCTTGAAGAGACCAGAACTGACCTCAGCAGCTGGCGCCCAGCAATTTCAATGAGACCAACATCTTCAACCCATGGACATGAGCTACACCGGATACCTCAGCCACAAGGCCCAGAGAAAAGATACAACATGCAACAGTCCAGCCCCAACATACACCATCTTGCATGCCCTGAGAGACTGTTCTAACAGATGGAGGTTGAACTCATGGGGTAAATGAACTCAACGGACATTTTAGAGCGATGGCCTATAGACTAAGGACATTATACCTATATGTGTGTATATAAATATATATATGTCAGGAGAAACTGACAGTATACAACTGGAAACTGTAGGATCTGGGCATGGCATGAAATGGTATGGAATAAGGGGTGGATGATGTCCTGGGTCTGGCGGTGATGGGGTTAATTCTCCCCAGGACCTAGGAGGGACACAAGTATTCCATCCCATGTGAGCCATGCCCAAGGGGTAGCCGGAGCTAGCCGGGGAAGGGGAGGGGACAGGAAGTTGGGGGGAGGAAGCGGTGACCCCTGGGGGAGGAGAGCGGTCGGGGGCGTCCCGGGAGCGGTCGGCGAGCGGCGGTATCGTGATCGCAGTTGTATACCCCTCTGTTATTGTTGTTGTTATTGCTCTTTGTTCTGTTCTGTTAAAATTGCCTTTGTCTCAACCCACGAGTTTTGCCTTTTTATTCCCATCTTCCCTTCCCGGCTGCGTGGTCGTGAGGGCTCTGCTCTGTGCGAGCGGCTGCACGTGGTCCTTTGTTGCCATCTGAGGCCAAACCACGACAGGTTGTTTTTCAAATGAGTCCCATTGTCCAACTCAATGCTTTCTGGAGTACCATGTCGCCACAAAACCTGCTTTTCAAGGCCCAGGATGGTGCTCCGGGCAGCGGCATGGGGTACAGCATAGGTTTCCAACCGTCCGGTGCTTCCTTCCACCACTGTAAGCACGTACCACTTACCCTGGCGGCTTTGAGGGAGTGTGATGTAGTCTATTTGCCAAGCCTCCCCATCCTTGTATTTCAACCATCGTCCCCCATACCACAAAGGTTTTAACCTTTTTGCTTGTTTGATTTCGGCGCGTGTTTTACACTCGTGGATAACCTGTGCAATAGCGTCCATGGTTAAATCCATGGATTGACCAACCAGAACGACAGATGGCCCCTCCCTCCCTGGCCTAAGGAGAAGAGAAGAGAAGAGAAGAGAAGAGAAGAGAAGAGAAGAGAAGAGAAGAGAAGAGAAGAGAAGAGAAGAGAAGAGAAGAAGGGGGGAGGGGCGGGGGGGGCGGAATTATAAGTTTAGAAAAAAAACCAAACTACTTTAATGAAAATATAAATAAATAATGAAATGAGAAGAAGAAGAAAAGGGAAAAAAAAAATGTATACAGTATATACAAAACCGTATCAAGCTCCCAGGATGATGATCACATCACCAGCAGGCGCAGGGGAAAGTCCCAGGCTGGGACAGGAGCCGGATTCTGGATCTTGAGTCAGCAACACTCGGATCGGGATCAAAGGCAGACGAACAGATAGGGTCCTCCTTGGACGTCAGCCATTGAAGGAAGAGCGTTGACCCTTTGATCCTCTCAGCTTTTATACTGAGCATGATGTGGATGGGATGGAATACCCTGTTGGTCAGTTTTGGGTCATCTGTCCTGTCCGCCTCTTCCCTACAGGTGGGACCCCTCTACGCTTCTCTGCTTCCAACCCTCCAACGGGGCAAATAACAAATTTGCCTGACCTTGGTTGTTTTAGCAATAAGTATAAGCAAGGGCCTCTCTGCATACTATTCCTTGGTATAATCAGGTCTTATCACTGTGAGAGTGAACAGTTTCTGAACAATATGCTGTTAATTTCAGAGTTTAGTGCCTTAGAAGAGGCCCAGCTGAAAAAGTAAAATTACTGAACAGAAAATTAGATATGTTTTAACTCAAACCAGGACACCGAGTATCAGGAAAAGTTTCTTTCCCAAGGCGGGGGTCAAAGCCTGGAACAGGCGTCCTGGGCAGGTGGTTGATGCCCCAAGTGTCTCCGTGGTGAAGAGGCGTTTGGACAATGCCCTGAAGAATGCCCTTCTTGGGTGATTTGGGGTGACTTTCCTGGGGTCGGGAGGCAAAGCTGGGTTCATGAGCCCATGGCAGTGGGATCCGAGGACGGGTGGGATTGTGCCCAGGATTTTGGGGGACGGCATGGCGAGCCCTGTCCCTGCAGGAGGGGACACCGGCCAAGTTCCAGACCAGGGCCATGCAGGCCGTGTGGTGGTGTGTGTCTGTCCCACCTGGGTCCCCAAGGGCTCTCCTTGTCCCGGGGGCTCCGTGCTGCTTTGTGCGTGGGGCCGTGTGCGTGGGTCCTGCAGGGACCCCTCTGTCCTGGCTGCCCCTGGGGAAGGGGACAGGAGAGTCCCCCCCTGGCCACTGCCACCTGGCAGAGATTTGGCATTTAGACAACGCCCTTAAGCACAATGCTTTAACTTGTGCTCAGCCCTGAAGTGCTGAGGCACCTGGACTGGATGGTCATTATAGGTCTCTTCTTACTGAAATAGTCTCTTATTGTATTTTACTCTGCAGCCCGAGGTATCTGCTGGTGTCCCCAGCCCACACCAGTTCAGACATTGCCCCAAGGGAAGCTGGTGGCAGGTTGGACCCATTCGATCAATGGGGCAAAGAGATGACATTTCTCATGGCACTCACCATTGAGCTGCCCCGTTGAAGGTCACTCTTGTCCGTCACCAGCGGTGGCTCTGCCTAAAAGCACGGTGAATTGTTGTGCTAATCTTAGAGGAGGAAACTTGGGCAGAACCTTGGTCTCAAAGTACACTCATGATAAGCAGGAAAAGAAATATCTGCCCCTCAATTCTGCTGCAGGAACAATATCCCCGCCCCCTTCTCAAGCATTTTATGCCCCATAATATGATTTATTTCAATATTCTGATTGCGTTTGCTGAATTAGTTCTGTGCTCTCTTACTTGGAGAAAGAGGCTTTGCCTTATCTCATTGAAATACTGAGAAAAAGCCTATCAACAGAAAAATCAGCAAGACTGGTCCTACTGATATTTTATTTGTAGTGTTGCTCAAAAGGGAGGGCACAGAATCATCCCCTGAGAAACCCCACCGATTTGCCTCCTGGATTTTATATTCAAAGATCCAGCCATTTCCACCTCCTGAAGCAGAGCGAGCTGGAGATTTCAGCACCCAAAAACATCCTTGTTTGGATTGTAAAAGGTAGAGAGAGGTTTCTATCCAACCCTCTCACCTTGGGAGCACTTGACTGCTGTGTGAAACGGGCCATAGGATCTTCACCTGCTGATTTGCTTTGAGCACAAAGTGAGAATTGCCCCCAGGCTGACATGAAACTAGTTCCTGACCAGCACTTCAAAAACATCTGAAGTGCCTTTGGGCTCCCACAATCACCTCCCAGACCTTCCCACTCACTGGAATGCCTGAACCCGGTTTCCAGATCAGCGCTACCGCTGAAATCAAAGCAGCCACACGCAAAATGAGGTTTGAGGCTGCAATTTGCAGTCTGAAAATGAAATTTCAAATGTCTTATGAAAAAGCAGGGGCTGTTGGTGTGTTTGGGGGGAGTTTTGTGCCTATTTCTACCACAGTGAAGGCGACTGACTTTAAAATGGGACCTCAAAAAACGATTTTAAATTGCTTTTTACTGAGTTGAAGAGATGACATTACAAACAAGCCATAAACATAAAGACTTGGCATCTGCAGAAGCACATAAGCAGAAGAGTCAGCTGTTTTCCCAACGCAGCTCTACTTGTTCCATTATAAAAGTGCATTTTCAACTTCTGTTTAAGCCAGTGGAATATAAAATAAGAAAAATTAAAAAAAAGAAAAGAAA